CCATGGTAGCCGGTGACCAACAATTAGTTCATACGCCATTTGTTCCTTCAGGATACTGGAGCCCATGTGCACCATTGGTTTGGAATCAGGGTTTTCCAACTCCCCTAGGTGGACTCTCCATGTCCACCAACCTGGTTAAAGCGCCGGACATTCGCTTTTCGTCCTCTCAATTCCGTAAACAACACCCCCGCCACGAGAAGGCAGTGGTTAGGACTCCCCTGACAGTGGCTATATACGCGTGGCCATGTGAGAGCATTTGGAGAAGAAGAGCAAACTCTCCCCATACTCAGCCGTACCAAGGTATTTGCGGGCAACCAATGGAATATGACATCACACATATATGTTCTGGATTTCACTACTAATCACACTTCAAATATATTGATGATAACCAAATTTGTTTTTTTTTGAAAATCCAAGTTAACTGTTCTCAAGTTCCCTACCTGATTTACTTCAACAATTTATTGATACTATATAGTGGTAATTACTATTCATTCGGAAAATACATTTTCTTAGACACTTGTATTTCACTAATATAATTGAATATATTAAGTACTAGATTACAGTAGTAACTAAATTACATAGTTGTTTAGATCACCACCACTTAACAATTTCATTGATTCATATCACCAAGTGATTAAGAAAAGGGTATTTACGCAAGTTAGAAACAAATATTTGAAAAAAACCCGGACAATTCACTATCATTGTATCATAGTGATTGTAGGATAACATTAAAAATATAACCATGATGGTGAGATAAACGATTTAAAACTGACCTTAAACAAAGTACATACTATAAACTGTTGTTATTATTACTATAATTATGAAAAACAATGCATGGTAACTATAAATTGTCTGATCAAATATTATGTTATTTATTATTGAAATTCTACCCTTAAATATAGAACATATTGATATATGTGTAGTGTATGCTACTTATATTGACATAAGTAGCAGATGATGTTAGTCGTGAACAGAATGTCTGGCAGCAGAGAGGCAAAGAGGATCGAACAGTAAAGAATGGGACTAGACAAGCATGACATTGATCACTACCCAGTGATCAATCAATTGTGATTACATCTCAGTCCTACAGGAGGTTAGTCACGGCTCTGATAGCTCAGTGGTAACGTCTGTGACTGTGAAGCTGGGTGACACGAGATCGGATCCGCCAGGGAGCACCAGTTCCCTCAAGATTACAGGTACACCTTGCTGACGAGTGCCAAGTAGCACGAAACCCGGGTCCAGGGTTTCCTGTTGACTACCTTCAACTACCATCTAAATATCAATACATAGTACCCACAGTGTCGAGTCACCTAGACTGGTGGCCACATTGCAACATGATCGATAGCATTCGATCTGCACTAATAAGGACTAGACAAGCATGACATTGATCACCACCCAGTGATCAATCAATTGTGAAAGAATGGGAATGGAATGCAATTTGTATGAAAATGCAAGAACAATGTATGAGTTAACCTTTAAAAATTATCCATTCGACTACTTCTATCTAACGTGATCTAAGCTATTTGAATAATGAAATATTAATAAAAGTACATCTTTAAAGAAATCCGAATAAAACAATCCTAATATGATGTAGGCTACTTATAGCTATCGACAGATATAAGTAGTATGTAACACCAATTCGAAGTGGAATGCCTAACAGTAGAAAGTTGAGAAAATTGAATTGAAGAGAATGAGAACATAGAGTAATTTTCATGATAATGATGGAACGATGAAATTTGAGTTGATGAAGGATTTGTAAATGAAGCATCGAACGTATGGTTGTCACATTTTATTAGAGAACTCTGCAACTTTGTATTAAATAATAGATTAGTTTTTCTCATCTCAGTTCTCGTTCATTATACTATCCCACACTATGGAGAAAAGTCAATGAACATAGAGTAATTTTCTACATAACAAATAGATATTAAAGGCAAGACGCTTGACTACAATTAACTAATTAACAAACGATGGAGAATACTTTTGGCTGAGAATACGGAGTTTGTTCTCCACAACTATTTTAAATCAAAGGGACAACAGACAACTTATTTCATCCTAGTATAGGACCCCTCAGTACGGAATAAACTTAGGATTTTAAAGTCTCGCAAGAATAGAAATATTTCAAGACCACTTGTTATTGTATAGTCTATGTTCCTTGTTTTAGTCGATTACCAACCGCCATTCATTGTTCTTAGTGATACATCTACCGGTGTGGTAATCTAAAGGTATCCCACTTATTATGCGGCCTGAATAACATGCGTTTAATCCTTGAATAAACTGTAAGTGTGATGATGATGTACATTAGAAGTTGAACAATCTCTGCAAATCAAGTATGTTTACAAACTATTTTTTACGTTTACATGAAAAAAAATGAAAAACTTCTTTCTAACTGCCTTATTCAAATATAAACCATGTTATATGTATCGATAAAGAAAACGAAAAAAAAAATCAAGATGAATCCCAATTGCTAAATATTGATTAACGTCTAAAACATTATTCTAAGCCTAATTGATCAATGTATACGAAAAAAAAAGCAGAGAACAACGTTAACTGTTCAAATGCCCATAGGTCAATATCATCAAAGAAGATAGTTACTAGGAATGCGCAAAGATAAATGAAAAGAACAAAATCTATGAAGAATATAATCAAACAGGGGAGTATGTTATTCATAAAGTGAACTAGTTGAGCTTTCTTTTATGATGAATTAAGCATTGATGATATTTGCCAGAATAATCAATTAAGTTATCCAAATTAAAGAACACAATAAAATCAAAATTATCATACTTCTACTACTACTACAACATTGGAAATCAACTATTCCATACAAAATAAACAACAGTCAAGTTCATATATATATACACAAAAGAAAGTATAATCCGGTTAAACTTATCAACATATACATAGTTGTATATATACAGATTACAATACAATGGCCCAGGACAGAGTTGGATGGAGAATGCTGGTGAGTGGCCTATGCTCCTTCACAAGGAGTAACAGGCGTAAGTAAGTAAGTACAATACAATGACAAGAACCCACACAAAACAACAACGAAATCTAAAAGAATCATGTTGAATACTTTAAAATTACACATAATTACCTTTCTTTTATACAATTCATATAGTAACTATATCAAAGTCAATCAGTTAGCTACAAACATAGAACCAAGCACATATATATGCATTGGTGTAAATTGTCATACCTTAATAATACAACAAAATAAACAAGCATTATATTCATAGAAATAGTTACTTGGATACAAAGAGAATTACTTCGATTATGTCATAAAATGAATACAACACATTATGGTTTTGTTTTGTTTTGTTTTGTTTAAAATGAATGAAATAATCAAATAAATAAACATCTTGCCCCTTCTTCTTTAAAGAAAAAACATATCACAACAAGATTGAATGAATATCCCCCCCCTACCACCACCGCCACCACCACTACTACTACCAAAAAATGAAGAGAAAAGAAGACCTAATAATTTGTTGATAAGGAATTATGTAACTAACCAAAGTAATGACTCAAATAGGAAATAATGAGACAGAACAACAACAACAACAACAAACAAACAAACAAAACATTCAGTTTATAAAACAAAACAAAAAACATTTCATTATTATTTGTCATCTTTTAAGGCGCTTCTTCACATACACCCCCCGACATACACACACACACACACACACAAAGCAAAGGGATAATTGACAAACACTTGAAATAAATTACAATTTACAGTTTAATGATGATCGTTTCTTTTGTTTAAAATGACAAATGAAATAAATAGATCATTATCACAGGGATCAAATGTAAACTTTATCAATATAAAACTGCTATGATAAACATGAGATAATTCTGCTTTTTTTTTAAAGAAGAACCAAAAGAATAATAATAATCTCTTTAAAATCAATCACATTAAAATAGAAGATAAACCAGAAGAGTACAACATTGAAACTTATGTATATATACATACAGATACAATAGGAAGAGGAATAATGAAACTTTATATATTCACTAAATGATACTAAATGTAATTGTTATCATATTTAAGACTATTGTTATTGTACATATAAAACATTACAACATAAGTCAATCAGTCAGTCAGTAACAACGTAGAACTTCGTACGTACGTACGTACATCAATTCAAGTTGCCACACCACATTACAACATAGATACAGTTGTCGATTCAAATCCCATAGTGCAATAGGTAGTGAGAGTATAAGCAGTAATCGGAAACATTAAGATTTGAAGATGTTATTCAAGGAGTATAATACAATGAAATAAATTTGGAAAGAGGAGAAGAAAAGGGATATAGTGAATAAGGAAATTAAAAGTAAACTAACAAAACATTGATTTAAAGAGAAATAAACAATATATATATACATATATTACTTAATATATTAATAATAATAATGATTACTATTATTATCTTAGCCTCAGAGGGGTTCCAGGCGGAATCATTAGAGATGAAAACAAAATGAGCAACAATAAGAACAACAACAATAATAATAAAGTAAAAGAAAAAAAATTACATAAATTAAAAAGAAGAAGAAAAAGAGAGAACATAAAAACTATGATGAACATCGGTGGTACACATATGACTAATGAATATATCCAATTGAAATGTAAAGCTTTGATAAAATAATAAGAATTGAGCATGAATTTGTATTACTCATATAGAGATGCATGACAATCAACACAATTTGATTAAGGAATTCAATGAAAATCTCTATAATGAGATATATATGAAGAAATAAAGGTGCTTATGACACTATTATTATTATTATTATTATGCAGTAGAACTAAGTATTGTTATTATTAATAACAGTTATTGGTAGAAATAATAATCTATACATTCTTGATTAGTTACAGTTACAGATAGTTGAAGTTGAATTCATCAATAGCACAGTATATAGATGCAGAAACAAATAAAGCAAAAGATATGAATTTAAATGGAAGACAGATTGTGACAGAAACACATCTTAGTTATATATATATATATATATATATATATATATATATATATATCACAGATGACTGAAGCGTGTCAATGATCGATATTACACTGATTGAGTATCAGTTGATATTTGGGCAATAGTCATTTGCTAATGACTGATTAAATCCAGGAGATACTACTACTTCTGTGGATGATATAACAGGGTTAGTAGTATTATTTGTTGTTGGGGATGAATCACACGTCACTGTCGGTGCAACAGTATTTTCTGATGAGAACAGAATTTGTGTTCTTGGCACCGTTACTGTTGTTGTTGTTGTTGTAGTCAGTGAAGTATCTGGTTCTAAATTTAAAAGGCATGTAGGACAACTAAATGAACGCATAAGCCATTCATCAATACATATACGATGATAAGTATGTAGACAGGGCAGGTAACGTACTTCATCTCCAAGTTTTAAATCATTCATGCATATAATACACCTAAAATAGTAATTAATTACACATTATATATATAGGTCAACGGTTATTTATATAAAGTAATATAAAATTAGATTCAATACAAGTGATATCCGGTGGCACAGAACTCCTAAATCGATATCCGCACGATAATTGTTAACCTACTACTGCAAATGTTGGATGATAGCTCGAATTCATTTGCGACACATCACACCAGTCATTCCTTTATTAAAAAACATAACCCTGGGATGCATGTGCATCGACTTAATTTCCCATACCATATAAACACAGAGAGATGAGTAATAGCTGTCAGAGTAATAGCTGCAGCTCACATTGTTATCGTTTTTTCTAAATCATGTGTCTTAATGTTTAATAATTTTACCTCTTTACTTCCATTCTAACTTTTATCTTTAGCTTTTTATCATCAATGATACTGTTATTACGACCCCTTTGTTTCTCATCGTAGTAATTGCCTTCCTTGTTGTGCTGCTGTTAAAAGTGGGAGCGTAAAATAATGAAAATTTGTAACCCAATTGAGTCACACTGGCCAAAACACTAGTTCCTTAAATTTACAAGCACGCTAGGCATCATAGTTGGGAAGCATAAGCAGCAAAGACAAGGTCTGATGGCGAAGTTGTACTTCAGACTGTACAAGAGAGTGACGACAGTAACGTCCTTTAGACAAAGTGTCTGTACCAAAAGTAGTCCGCCTGAACTTGTTCCACAGACGTTTTTCGATAGACGTGAGGCCTTAAGATTATGGAGCTGACACTCCGAAAACTATTCCAAAAAGTTTAAGTGGCATCAGGCTTAGGCAGTTATTCATCTGACCATGTAGTTGCGCTTTCAAATCGTCGAGACTACTGCTAATCCAGTTCCATTTTCTGCCCTCTCAATAATAGTTATCTACCCGCATTGGAGAAGTGGGAAATGTCAACCGCTCTCACACTTCTAAAAGTTCTTGAGATGGATAATGAAACAAGAAGCGAAATAAGCATATATACATAAATTTTCTTACTCTCTTAATTTCTCCTTATTCACAGGTACATAATTTGTTAGAGGAAGAAATTGAAGCATGTGAATACGTTTAACAATTTGTATTTGTTCCTCCTCTGTCAGATCGGATGCAAGAATAGGCAAGCCTGGACTTATATGATAAATAGGCACCTGATGCTGTTATTTTCAATGAGAAAAAAACGGACACAACAAAGTTAGATATAAAATAAATATGGTAACTGTGTGCGTTAACTAGATGATACTGAAGTGAAAAATCCCGACCATAGCAGCTACATTGACGTGGTGGTCGGGCTTGCCCATAATAATCAACTAGTCGAGCTACATTGCCTGGAACAATCGTTCCTCAAGGTCCTAACATGTCAGACAGGTCGGTTGAAGAGCTGTAAGACTAAAAGTGGCGAACCCAAGGTCCGAGGCCGAAGTCGTACTGGTGATTGTACAGAGGTGTGACAGTAGTAAGGTGTCTCCTCCAGACAACCAGCATAATAGCGATGCTGCCTTCCCACAAGGAAGGGTGGGGTTAGAAAGGGCCGACCCTAAAAATGCACACCTAACCTTATTCCACGGATATCCGTCTCCGGCAGCAAGGTCTCAACAAGTACGGAGCTAACACGAAAATAACTTACAAAGTGGTCGTGTGTGACTGACATCAAGCAGCTGTCCCTTGGGCACTGCGGTCACGTTCTCAGGTCACTAAGACCACCTCTAACACAATTTTCTTTTCAGGTATCTCTAGAAGAACCCCTCCACGGTTGGGGCAGCCGGGGAGCGATAACCACCCTCATACCTCTAAAAGCACTCAAGATCACTGACTGACTGAAGTAAAAACTAGAACACCAACTCATAAGGGATGAATGTGCTTCTACTGGTAATACCATGAGACAATAATCAATCCATCCCATCATGTACAATAGACCATTCCTTTCCTTCTCGACTATATGTTAGATGTTACTACTTTATATCTATTTGCTTCTTGTCTACTGATATTTTCTAGCTTTTTTTATTTACAGAAAGTTCAAAGCCTGAGAACAAACAGAAATCCCGTGTTATACATGTCTTACCAACGAGTGATCAGAACTCCGAACCTACTTTCTAGTGAATTCAAATTCATATAATACTAGATACTTATAGAGCGATATCAGCAAATAGCTAACACAGACTTGCGACTTCGTACTTAACGATTAAGTTTGAATTTGATACTTGTATATGATGTGGAAAAATGGGACGCAAGAAACACACGGCAGTCCTATGTCAATATTTTTATGGGGGCATTAATACACTTAGTACTAATCGAGAAAATTAAACATTACGGATAAGAATTTAGATAGGGATTGACTGGTTCATGCCACTTGGTTCATGCCGTCTTCTACAAAAGCGGATATCGAATATATAATTATGTGAATCATCTCCGTTGATCATCTTTTGATGAAATTTAGGTCTGACTTAAGGAAAGATTTCCGCATATTTTAGTCGTTTAAACTACAATAACACGATATAATTGTAAGCAATGGACTTGCATCTGTCCTAGGGCTTTCATCCTGATCATCTTGAGTTTCGTAAACCTCTTGATCCAGAAGGTAAGAACTTTCACTTCGAAATCCAAAACAATTCCCCATAATCTTTATGTTAGATTATGCATGTCGAAATCATGAGCGTGAAAACTTGGGATCAAACAACGCGCAGTGACCTTCAGTTTTCGGTAATAAGGATAGGTCTATCAACCTATATTAATCGTTGCAGTCTGTAACACTGTGGGGGGCTCCAATCTCGTTTTGAATATAATAACGGAATGTGCTGGTATTACGTGTTCTGGTAGAGAATTCTAGTAACTCATCACCTGATGTGAGAAACGGAACTCCAGACGTACACTATTTGATCTCAGTTGTTAAACTTTCCTAGTCATCAGTTTCAGTTTGGGAAGGACAGGAGGCCCGATGGCCTGTGTTAGTCCTGGCAATGGTGGTCCCTCAGTTGATCCAACTTTCTTTTGAAAGAATCGACGGACGGAGCCTCAATCACGTGCTGAGGTAATGAGTTCCACTCGTTGATGATTCGATGGGAAAGTCGATAGTCAGCTGACAAGTAATTTGTTCTTGGCTTGTGAACTTTTTTGGAGTGTCCCCGTAAGTTCTCTGTTTTGGAAGACAAGAAAAATGGGGGCACATCAGGTGCAAATTTGGCACTAAGCAATTTGAAAACTGTAATCAAGTCGCCTCTAGTTCTGCGATATGACAACGGGAAAAGGTTCAGCTTGGCCAGCCGAGCTTCATACAGAAGCTTCGCTATTCCGGGAATCAGCTTGGTTGCCGTTCTCTGAACCTCTTCCAGAAGCTCACTGTCTTTTTTAAGCAGGGGCTGGCCGCTTGTATGCAGTACTCAAGTTTAGGACGTACGAACACTGTATACAAAGTCAAAAACGTCCTAGCGTCGACATGACTAAAAGCCCTACGTATTGACCATAACGTTCTAAAACCTTTGGCGGCCATTGCACGGCAGTGTGCAGTAGTCTTTAAATCTTGGCTAACGATGACTCCTAAGTTATTATATGTCTGGACGACAGTCCTAGACGGAATGAAAATACAAGATATATTGATATGACTCCTAAATCTTTATAGTCCATTACTTTGGGTAAAATAAATCCACGTATTGTGCAGTGACACAAGTCATCATAGTTATTTTATTGCATCACCACACTCTCGTTAGAATTCACTTCTAGTGACGATCCGTCCATCTGTGCCATTAATGAGTTGCGATCATCCTGTAATTCTATAGCCCAGTTTTCTCCTAATGATCAGTATCTTTTTCGGATTGGAATTTGTGTGTATTGAGAACAGAAGTCTAACGTCCTGTGTTACCAACTTTCTAGTAAGCTTCTATTAGCTTCTAGTGTCAACCAAAGGTGCAGCCACCACTTCATCGGGTAGCAAGTTCCAACAAACGATGGCTCAGTGTGAAACTTGCATACCACGGATACTTTGTCCGTTTTTGAGTTCTGAAATCCTTTATTATTTCCTGCAAGCTGTCATGACCTATAAGGAATAAATATAGGGGATATATTAGGTCGAAAACCATCTTTAGGTGTTCTATACGTCAAAATCGGTTCACCTCATGAACTGAGGACGGACAGAGTAGAGAGTTGTAAGACAGGGACGAAAGAATTCGCGAATGTATCTGGAAGGTTGTCAATACGTTGAGAAGCGTTTGATCTAAGCCGGCTAATTGGTGTAAGGGATACTTAGCTAGACGTAACCACTCGTGATCTAGTAAGGCTGTGTGACCGAGCGTATTCAGCTAGGGTGCTAATGAGGTCAAGATCAATCTCGGAAGTCAACAGAGCTATCTGTTTTAGAGAATCATCTACCTACATGAACACACAGGGTTGTGGACCCCTTAGCTGCAACAGCGAGACAGTGTGCTGTTGTCTCAAGATCGTGACTCACTATTTTCCCAAGTGTTGCGAGACTTGAAAAAGGACACTGACATTCCTCAACGCTGTAGCTGATTATTGTTGAATTTCCAGTGTGCATATAGACACACTTATCATTGATGATAGGCCTATACTATGTTTTAGACTAGCTAATCATAACGTCTAGGTTCACCTTGTGTGCACGTACACTTGCCTCCCACACTACTTCTCACAAACTCCCAACGTTATCAAAATAAAGTAGCATTGGGAACTCAAAGATACTCATTAGTACATTTACATATGGCACAAAAAGTAAGAGAGCCAGAACGTGGCTTTGCGGTATTCCCACAGGAACTGATTTTCACTAGAAACATTTGGAATTTATGCCCAATTCCTGCTTATGACCCACCAGAAAAGTTTTGGTTCACTTTAGAAGAGGTCCGGTAATTTATGAAGTTTCCAGCTTCGAAAGAAGTCTGTTTTGTAGAACCTTATCAAATACTTGGCTTATGTCAATTTTGACAATATCAGCTTATTTCCCGTTATCACTAGAATCTGTCAAAAATTTCTTGCTATAAAGAGGTGAGCGGTGCAACATAATCCTTTCCTGAAGCCATGTTGTTCACTGTTTTGTAAGTTGCTGGTTTCCTCAAAGACGTAATGGCATAGTATTTACTGCGAAAGATGTGAGGCTGATGAGATCGTGGTTTGATGAAAGTTATTTAGTGTGAGAGTTGCCTCCTTACAGTCTCTAGGTAACATCTGGTCAAACAAAATCTAGGATAACGTAGTTAGCAGGTTAGTGTAATTTATCTTACAATGTTTGGGTGTAGTTGACCACATCATGTCGATTTTTCTGTCTGAAGTGCTTGGTGCCAATAGTAAGTCCGTAGTGAGTGGCCAATTAAGTGATATTCGCTCTCGGGTGAGTTCTTGGTTCAGAGAAGGCTCATGAGTTAAGACTGAATTGAAGTAATCTAACATGACTTCTACTTTGCCCTGGCCTTCCTCTATGGTTTGAGAGACACTGTTTTCAGTAATTAAACTTGGAATCTATGGTTGTGTTTTTCTTCTGTAGTCCATCCATAAAACTAACCGCTTTAGTTGCTCCATCACAGACTGCGGCAATTTATTTTCATATTTCTTTTCAGTTGCATAGTTTATACTTCTACGATTTCGAACCGACTAGTAACATTCCACCGTACTTTCTGCCCAGAAGCTATTGGAGTCATTCCGGCGCCTTTTCTTTTGCCTAAGTAGGCGTTAAATCTCAAGGTCTCTCGAGGATGAGTGTGTCTTTCTTTCTTGGGACCGCTGAGCAACTTCGTCACATAGCCTCTAAAAGTGACTGCATGCCTCTTCCACTGATGCACCTAAATCCACTTTTCAGCGTTCAGCCAACGCCTCAGGGTTGATCGCCTTTACATGCTCTTCATATACCAGATGAGTCACCGCGTCTGGTTGACAGACCATGGCAGCAATCAACGCTTATATGAGAAAAAGCAGTTTGTGAACGATAAAAATAATAATAGTAATACTAATAATAGCGATTTAGCTTCATGATGGCTTCTCCCAGAGGGTGAAAGGGACTTTTTTGACTAATATCACCGTGGGTGAGAACTAAATAAAGAATAGAATAAATGTGTTGTATATCTTATCTAGCGGGACCTGCAGTGTACCGAAACAAAGTTAGGGCGACTAACGTTTGTAACAATTATTATTATAAGTGGCTTTATTCAATATTATCTTTTTGGTACAATATAGAATTCTCAGCACAGGGTATTTCAACAAGTTACTTACTGAACAACGAACAAAAAGGCAATAACAAATACAAAAAGAAACAAAAAAAAGGTTTGTAAAAAAATAAAATAAAAAAACCCAAAAAACTGTACAAACATTTTAAAATTAAAGACATGTTAAGAATGTAAGTTATTGACTAGGTTAATTCTAACAACCTGTTCGTCACCGAGTATATTTGCTAGGTAAGGTAATATAGAACTTTTATACTTTTCCTTGCGTGCATGGATTTTAATGTCATTACGTCTTGTTCTACCAGAAGATATACAAGGAGAAAGATAAGTGTGAAAGGGATGGCTAGTATCTGATAAAATGACGCCTGCCAGGAGTTTACATGATTTTAAGTGTCTATCCACAACCATATTGATTATGACCTCGAAAGATTCGCCACACACTTTGCTAACTGCCTTCAGCACTCTTCGCAATACAGCAAAGTCTTTTCTCAAAAGCCCGGGAAAGAATAATGGAGAACAGTAAAGAATAATAGGTAATATGCAAGAATTGACAAATTCTAAGAGTAAATGACGAGTAATTCCAAGAGCATGCAATCTCCTTATGTAGTAGGTCAGACGGAAAATCTTCTTCGATAACGATAAAACGTGGGAAGACCAAGACAGATCAGAGGAAAAGGTGACACCAAGATAATTGACCTTCGACACTGAGTTTATCAAAGAGTCTCCGATGGTACAAGCACTATGGGATCTCAAAATGGTGTTTAGATTCCGTTCATGTCTCATGCTAAAGTTAACAGCTTGACATTTAGACGGATTAAGTATGAGACCATTACCAACAGACCAACAATCAATACGAGACAAAAACTCATTCATTTCTATGGGATGTAAAGAGGAAGATATAGGCATACATACAGTGAGATCATCCGCATACTTCACAAAAGTGTTTTCTGTGGAAGATGGCAGGTCATGCAGAAAAAAGGAGAATAGAAGAGGTGAAAGAACAGCTCCTTGTGGTACACCTTCATGAGACAGTAGAGACTCTGAACTCTTTCCTCCAAACACAGTGTACTGTTCCCTTCCTGAGAGGTAGGAACATAGCCAGTTGGTTATCCAGCTGTCAGTGTTGACGCTGATTAACTTGTTAAGTAAACGTTGTCTTGGTATAGAGTCAAAAGCTGAAGTATAGTCCAGAAAAGCACATCGAACATACTTCTTACCCTCTTCTAAGTTGAACACTCTGTTGTGATGCAGAACTGCATCAGCATCTAAAGTGCTTCTTTTGCGCCTGTATGCAAACTGGTATGGGTCAGTATGCTCTTTTATCGCAGGCTGAAGTGGAAGTATTAATAATTTTTCCATGGTTTTGAGGAAGGGTGAAGTTATTGCAATAGGTCTAAATTTTACATTCTTATCACCAAATGCTTTCTTGGGTACAGGAATTATCTTCATCTTTCTCCACATTTTCGGTATGAGATTAGATGAGAAGGATCTGTTAAATATAGTTTTGAACGGATGACACAGAACGTCAGCACATTTTTTAAAAAGGATGTTTGGGATACCATCAGGTCCCAAACATCGAGATGAATTAAGCGACTGGAGACATCCTC